TCCTGTTCACCACCACTTCTCTGCTCAGGAATCTCAGAGTCCAAAGTGTTCTTTCATGGCTCTTCTTTCTGGATGGTTGTGAGATTGCCCCCTTGTGATTCTGAGACAGTGCACTCTAAACCTACCAGCATGGCAAAACTAGCCGATCCCTTTGTTAAAGTTTTCTACATCCTATTTGCCTGGTCCCACCTAATCCTTCGCTGGGAGTTACAAAGATGATGGCTAGAAGACACACATTCAGTATTTCCCTGTACCACACCCTCCAATGCAATTATTGTAGATGAAGTATCACTTGAGGAGTAACTTAAAAAAGGAATTCATTTTTTCCCCAGTAAGTATTGTAGTGGAAACAAAACAGACAAAATCCTTGCCCTCCTAGACTTTTGATTCTACAGTTAAATGAAGGAGGCACATGTAACTAACAAAACATACGAGTAAAATATGTATACTATGGGAGGTGCATGTGCAAATAGAGTCAGGGAAGGGAAGAGAAACTGACTATGCTTGAGGGCATCAGGTGGGTGGTTGCCTTGGGATGGCCAGAGATCACCTGGGTAAGAGCACTGGAGTGAAGACATGAATGAAGATGGTAATGGAGTAGACCCTGTGGAAACCTAGGGAAGAGCATTCCAGACAGCACGTGTCCTAATCAAGGGTCCCATGTTAGGAAGAGCAGGTGTGACTGGACGAGGGGGATAGGCAGGTAGACTGCTGGGGGTCCTGGGTGATTTGTGTCCTGGGACACCATTGGAGGATTGTGTACAGAAGAATGGCATGTGGTCTGTAGTTGTGTTGTGAAAAGATCACAGAAGCGACCCTTCAGAGACTATTGGAATAAACAGAGGGAACTGATAGTATCTTAGATAAGGGTGAGAATGGTCCAGAAGGTGAGTTGTGGTCTGATTCTGCATGTAGCTTGACCTGAAGATGATTGGAAGTCAGGTGTGAGAAAAAAAAGTGTCAAGAATGATGCTTTCGTTGTGATTTGAACAACTTAAAAAATGGAGTGTATTACGTTCTGAGATGAAGACACCAGAGGAAAGATGGGTTCTTCTGGGAGGAGGAAAGTAGCTGAGGTTCCCTTCGGAGCGTGTTAGGTTTGAGATGCCGTAGTTATCCATGCAGAGGCATTGACTGGGCAGCTGGAAAGAAGAATCAGGAGCTGAGAGGCGAGGAAAGAGCTGGAATTGAAAAGGGGGGGCTTCATCAGTCATATACAGCTGCAAGATATACAAGATCACCTGGGGAGGGAGGGGAGGGAGGCTAGAGACAAACCGCCATCTATTTGAGGATATGAGAACTCAGCAAAGGAGTCATACGGGGATAGTGCAATATTTAATTGTAGGAAAAATTGCTCACCTCTGGTGTCACGTTGTAGGATAAAGCATTGGACTGCAAGGTCGGTTTGAACCACAAGGTCGGCAGTTCAAAGTTCCTAACCATTCCTTGGAAACCCTACACAGGGTTGCTATGAGTCAGAACCAGTCTGACAGTACTTAACAACAATCATTGCTTTGCAAACTGTTGGGTGTGCATGAGTCCCATAGGCTTATGGTGTGAAGTGCAGATGCTGTGCAGGAGGTCTGAGATAGCATCTGTGAGTGTGCGTTTCTAACAAGCTTCCTGAAATGCTGATGTTGCAGGTGGCGACTATATGAAAAAAAGAAAGAATCCATAGAGATTACTGTTTGTGCGAGGCTGAGGATTGACGATACCCAGAATACAGAAAGAGTATGTATAAATCAATAAGGAACACAAACAACTCTTGGTAAAGTGGAGGGTCGTTGAAAAAGAGGAAGACCCCCACAAAGAGATGGATTGACAGAGTCACAGTAGCACTAGGCTCAAACACAACAACAATTGTGAGGCTGGCGCTAGACTGGACAGTGTCTCGTTCTGTTGTACATAGGGTTGCTACAAGTCAGGACCGGCTCGAGGGCACCAAACAATAAAAACAGACTAAAAAGGAGAGAGTATATAGAAGGAACGACTGACTTTTCAAGAAGGAAAACTCAAATGGTCAGTAAACATGACAAATGCTTATTAACCGTATTCATGGGAAATACAAATGAAAACAGCAAGGTCTTCTTGCTCCTCAGATTGACAAACGTTTAGAAGTTTCATACTACCCAACGATGATGAGATTGTGGAGAAGAGAATGAACTGTCAAACCAGTCAGATAAATTGGACTCATTTTTCATCAAGAAAAGCACCAGATTTCATGTCCCCGTCACGTGAAGGTGTTCCCATGTATATCTCTGTGGCCAGCAGCAGACTTCTGGATTCTAGGCTGCCCGGACAAGGATGGACTGCTGGCCAAGAAGCTGCCAAAGGGGACCCTGCCCCTGAGTTTGTTTCTCTCTGAAGCTGTTGCCCTTCTTCTCTTCACTGTCCCATTTGCTCGGGACCTTGGAGCATCTCCATCTCAGAACAGTGCACCTTTGCGCAGGATTTGAGATGGATACGCCTTGCCTTTTTTTAAAAAATAGGGATGTTAATAACATGAAGAATTGTGATTTTGAAAGGAGGTAGAAAAGGAGAGCCAGTTTTCAAGCAGATAATTTAAGACGTTCAAACAGAGTTTGAGGAGCTGGAATTTGATTCTCTTAAAATTATTCATGCCCACCTCATCCCTGGTTACCAGCGCAGTTTGAAGAATCTTGAAATAAGCTGGGCATGTCCATACGAATTCTTAACCAATAAAAGGAAGTTTTCAAAACTGCAAAGAGAATATAGGAACAGTGCTAAGACATATGTTGTTCAATGAAGAAAGCAAGTGTTAAAAATATTCTATCTATACCTGTAATATCTGTGTATGCATGTGTATTTTATGTTGTTGTTAAGTGCTGTTGAGTCAGTTCTGACTCACAGAGACCCTGTATAGGGTTTCTGAGGAGCAGTTGGTGAATTTGAACTGCTGACCTTGTGTTCAAAGCCCAGTGCTGACCCTACAATGCTATACCAGGAGTCTGTGTATTTTATATATGGATGTATTTATGCTTTTACATGTGTTTAAAAAGGAGAAATGGGCAGACTAACCACAAAGCACAATCAGCAGGGGGCCTGGGAATGTGGGAAAGGTACAAAGACATTGCCGTG